GTTAACAAACAAATCAGATAACGAACACTTTTGCGAAAGATTTTTATGTTCGGACAACAAACACATGATCAGATAACGAACACCCCACAGAACAAACACAAGAAGAAGTGATGTAAAATAATGAATACTGATTGGTTTTCCCTCCCTTGTCTTCAGGCAACAATTCGCGACTTTTTGGAGCGCGGGAGACGTCAACATCAACGCTCAAGCCAGTATATACCGATCGGATAGTATTCCTCCGAACTTTGAAACTTTCCCTTGTAATTTCAGCCTTTTATTTTTCTGACAAAACAATTCTTATATGTATTCGCAAGATTGTCGGGTAGGTACTTGTTAAGTTTTGCGTCTGTTTTTCTTTTCGAAAGGTGAGAGTATAATAGCAAAGGTAGAGAGTAGGCAGAAGATATTTGATGTTACTGGGCAGTATAGCTTGAACAGGTTTACATTAGGCTGCAGTTCAAGCAAGTTTCAGAAGTAATTAATAGTGATGTAATTGTAGAGATCCACAAGCCTATTAACCTCTAAGGCCATTCTAAGACCATTGTTTTGACATCCTCCCACTTCTTCAAAAGATTTCTAATAGCAGATATTGGCATTAATCTTCTTTTTCAGAAAATAACATATCTTGCATAGTTTCTTGGCATTCTTCTGCCATCAGATCTGTTTCAGTTTCCATTATGAACTCTTCAATGTTCTTTATTTCTCAGATGTGATTTTTTTGTTAATCCTTTAGCTGTTTGAGTTTTCTTGATTATACAGTATTTTTCTTAAATAAGATTGAACTGCGACCTACTGTAGACCTGCTAAAGCTATACTGCCCAGCAACATCAGACATCTTCTGTCTACTTTATACCTTTGCTATTATACTCTCATCTTTTGAAAAGAAAAACAGACGAGACTTGAGTGCCTACCCGACAGTTTTGTGAATACATAAAAGAATTGTTTTGTCAGAAATATAAAAGGCTGGAATTACAAGGGAGAGTTTCAAAGTTCGGAGGAATACTATCCAATCAGTATATATTGGCTTGAGCGCTGATGTCAACGTCTCCCACACTCCGAAAAGTTTTGAATTGTTGCCCGAAGACAAGGGAAGATCAATTGGTATTCATTATTTTACGTCACTTCTGTGTTTGTTCTGTGGGGTGTTCGTTATCCGATCATGTGTTCGCTGTCCGAACATAAAAATCTTTTGCGGAAGTGTTTGTTATCTGATCTGTTCGTTAACTGATCACCCACTGTATACATGAAAACACCACATGAAACTCAGAAGCGGAACATCGTTTTCAACATTAAGGCACTTCTTACTACCATTCATTATGAGGATCACAATTGGATGGTGTGTGGTGATTTCAAAGTGTTGAGTATACTTCTAGGACAACAATCAGGATACTCATCTTTACCACAACACCGGAGAATAGTAATATAATTACCTCTTTCTAACTTGTTACCGGTGTGTCTACTAACTCTTAACGATCCAAAACGAATCAAAACTAACGTTTTCGAACCCTTAAACGGTTCTTCTTCAGGTTTTTTCGAATCTCTGATGAAAAATGCAGCTCGTAAAAACTTTAAATTCGAAATATGTAAGTTCGAATGCACGTTTCCCGTTTCCGTCGTTGTATGTCATGCGCAGTCGACTCCAAACGGGCTATCATAAATTACTATTCATAAACGCTAGCATTTTCCATCAGAGATTCGAAAAAACCTGAAGAAGAACCGTTTAAGGGTTCGAAAACGTTAGTTTTGATTCGTTTTGGATCGTTAAGAGTTAGTAGACACACCGGTAACAGGTTAGAAAGAGGTAATTATATAACAATCAGGATATACCAAGTTCCCCTGTTTCATCTGTAAATGGGATAGTCGAGCTTATGACAAACATTGGGAGCAAAAACAGTGGCCTCAAAGGTTGGAATTGGTTCCAGGGGACAAAAATATTGAGTGTGACCTTCTAGTGGAAAGAGACAGAATACTCTTACCACCTCTGCACATCAAATTGGGCATAATGAAGCAGTTTGTCAAAGCATTAAACAAGTGTGGCAGCTGTTTCAAATATCTGTTAAAAATTCCCCAACCTGTCATATGCTAAGTTGAAAGAGGGCGTGTTCACTGGTCCCGATATTTGGAAAGTAATGCTAGATGAAGATTTCCTTCATTCAATGAATGTTGTGGAGCAGAGAAGTCTGGACTGCCTTTAAGTGTGTGGTTCAAAACTTTCTGCGAAACAATCGTAGCCCAGAATATATCGACGTAGTTGAGAACATGCTGATGAAATTCAAAATGCTCGGATGCTCAATGAGTTTGAAGTTACATTTTTTAAATTCGCACCTTGACTTTTTTCCTCAACCTGGGTGCGGTAAGTGAGGAACAGGGTGAAAGATTCCATCATGATATCAAGGACATGGAACGACGATACCAGGGAACTTGGGATGTTCAGATGATGGGCAATTACTGCTGGATGCTTCACCGTGAGCACATAACAGAAATTCCCCATAAGAGGAAAAGCAGGGACCACGCCATGACAACTAAGAAAGCACTCAATGAATGATATTAGTGCATGTTTTGTACCACATTCTCTGTATGCATCTGTTCACTGTGTATATATTTCAATATGTTGTTGTTCTAAACTTGTATTCTACTTCTGCATGATTTGTGTGCCATATATATGTACTACTACTATATATGATATCATTATTGGCAAAATATGCGATTTGTGCAAAAACTGTGGGTGATATGATGTTTTGAGTATCATTTTTGAATTCAGGAGGTCGAAATACATAATGCCTACATTTTCGAGAAAAGTTTTTTCACTGTTGCATTGTGTTGGCCAATGACTATGTTTGAGATTTTACCCCTAAATGAAAGAAATGAAGAAAACTTAACTTTTGCATATGTTTTCTGCTCATCCGGGCATTCCAAACACCGGTGCTATGTATTGGACCCTACAAATGTGTGAAAACTACAGACTACTAGTGTCATCTATCCGTGAAATAGCGAAGCTCCATAAGTAATTTAGTAGCAAGTTAGAGGTTGTCCCTTTCATCCCCACCCTCCTCTACATGTGTAGAAATACAAGTGGTTTTTATTTTTTAAATATTTTCAGATTGTCTTTCTAAAAACACAATTAATGTATGTACTCTTATTAAAAAATTAAGTCAATTTTGTTAATTTTATTTAAGATCATCATAAAATTATAAGTTTTTCTTTATAGAAAAACTATATAATACTAAATTTTTAAAATTTCAATATACAAAGTACCATACATTCAGCTCTAATAATTAGTGAAAATTTTAAATATCAAATGAATGGCCAAATTCTTTATTGGGCTACTTAATGCTAATAAAATTTAAAATAAGATGTCAGCTTAACTAACTGCCTATCTCTAGCCAAATTAATTATTAATTAGCCTTAAGTAACCCACTTAAGAAATATTTAAATTCTTTTTATTAGTGCTTGAATTTTTTTTGGTTACTTCTAATTCAAATGCACATTTGATTTTTTTAAGAATCTTTTTAAATTTTTTTTTTTTTTTTCTTAAAATATTCAAAATAAGAGTGAGCAATTATTTATTGTGACATCATTATAATGCCAGGCTGCAATTTTTAATCATATTTTAAATAATTTTTTAATTTAAAATATATGCTCTCCACCTCAAATTAATAGTGTCTTGCCCTTCTACATCATACTTTTTGCACATAGCACACAGTCCATTCATACCATTGCACATACAACATACCATTGCACATAGCACACAGTCCTGCCATTCATCTAACTCATTTTGGGGAAAATTTTTTTAATTGAAATAATTGACTTTTGGTTGGAACCAGAAGTTTGTGTATAGTTAATTGGAACTTCCTGTCTCTAATCTTTCCATATCTGGTCTCTGCTTTCATCTATCTAACTCTGTTCTCAGACAGATGGACAACAGTGGGAATTTATAGGGCTACAATTTTTTCAAATTGCAATCCAACAAGAATATGAATGAACATTATTGAAAGATATAAATACAATGTAGGTTATAGAAGTTAAGATTTTATGATAGATTTTATACAGGTTTCTTATTGAATTATTATTAGTTTATATAACATATACACTTATTTTTCTTATTTTGCATTTATTTCTCATGTAACTGAATACTAGTAGTAAAAAATCCCGCAACACGTTGCATAACTTTCCTTGCAAATAGTTAAAATTGCATGTGGTGTCCATCATGAGATTTTATTACAAAAACTTTTTGCCATTTTATAATAATAATAATAATAAATTAATTAATTATATGCCTCAAAATTGAATTTTTAGTTTCATTTTGAGGATGGCAATGAGTTTTATTTTAAATGCTAATAATGAGTAAAATCTTTGTCTTATCCCACTAAAGATATGATACACGACCTTCTCTATCTCCCCACCCCTCAATCTTTAAGCATCAAAATTTAATAGCATCAGTCCCCTAATACACAAACCTGCAAACTTTCAGAAATTTTTGACAGACGGCACAAAAGTTATTAAGCTTCAAAGTGAGCGAAAAAATTGTTTCCTCACACAAACTAACATCCATCAAGAAAAAACCTCCAACTTTTTTTTGCATTTTTTTCAGCATTTCAAGGTCCCTTGATCCAAAAATTTAAAAATCTTGATCATTTTTTAACTAATCACCACTCTCTTCCTTTGTTATATATAACACAGGAAAGCAAAAATTAGGAGAGAGAATATGTAAATTACATATAGTAAACAGATGTGTCCAAATTTAACAAATCATAAGTGAAACAACATAATTCAAAAGAGAAATTATTTGTTATAACTTTCTTTTAGTTGTTGGAAATTTAGAGTAGATACATGTTTTAAATTACAATGGACTTCATTGATTAATGAATTCTATAAAGGAAACAAACCATAAAGGTTAATTTGATGATATGAGATACTTAAGCATGAATTAATTTTTACAAAGAGACTTCAATGAAAGATAAAATTCTAAATTTATTTTATTTAATTTTATTTATAACCAGGTTAGAAAACGACAGCAACGTGTCCTATTTGTTCTTACTTCAATGAAAATAGATTATGAAGTTGTAGATGTAACGGAACCTGGAAGAGATGAAGATAAAGAATTTATGAAAGAAGAATGTAAAAAACATAATAAAGAAAATGTTCTCCCTCCACAAATATTCAATGATAACGAATATTGCGGAGTAAGTATTCCAAGTTTTCACTTGCAGTTTATTTTTTTTTTTTATTGTTGAATTTTAATTCATATTCCAAAGAAAACAATAAAATTAAAACAGAATTCAAAATAACTTAAACTATAAACAACTATTAAAAATATTATCTCCAATTTACCAAAATATTTTCATATATTTCCTTTTAATATTTTTATTTTTTGTACATATTATTAGTCTAAATTAGGAAAAATAATTTTTAACATAACTGAACAAAGGAAATAATTATTTAATAAATGTTAAGATGATAATTTTTATATCTTCATTTTATTATTACACAAGATTACAGGAAAACCTCATTTAACACAACTTCAGCATGAATGATAATCAATTAATGTGATTGAACAAAATAATACTATTTCTGCTTTAAGTTTGTAATTAATCAGTTAGCATAATTTTTATATGGTAGCTGAAATTTTTTCCTTTCATTTTGAGGACCAAAAGAAAAAACTTGCACCTTTTTTTATGGTTTCCATGTGTAATGGTATCACTGCACACATTACAGGAGTGCAGACAAGAAGAGAATGTTACAAGAGATTAACTGCAAGAAAACTTGAACTGATTTTTGTTCATATTGTGCATGCCAAGAAAACTGTTTGTTGTGGATTGTAATGAGGAAAGAGGTGCAGAAGTATGGAGAAATCTTAAGGTAATCAGCACCTATTGCAAGTTGTAGGATGAATTTAAAAAGATTAACCCTGTTCAAACAACAATTAAATATTTTGTAAAATATTAATTAAATGAAGCATATTTATGCATTAAATAAATATTTACACAATTATTTTTATTAATTTTAATGTTTTTGACTCCTAATATAGCTTTACATATTTGTAATTATATACAGGATGATTTGAAATATATGATTCTTCATATGGTGGCTGAAATTTTAGGATGATTCTTTAAATATCATCATCCATAAAAGTTCATATGTACTGTACATATATGTTCAAACTAGCAGTTTAAAATTTATGCTATGATTAACTTGTGGTTATGCTTAAATGTCAATGTTGAGGAGAATATTTTTCTCTGCTTTGATTTTAGAATATCTGAATTTAGAATCCAAGTCCTAAGCCATTTGTCTCCTGGACTCAAGGAATAAAAATGACTAGACACATCTATCCATATCTTTAAGTAGCTTAAATAATTATCAAAGATATTTGATTCTTTTCAGGGACAAATGTTTTTTTTCCCTACCTTTTTTTGTCTTGTTTTCTTCCTACAGATAGACATATTGATTACAAAAGAAATATTAAAATTTATAAATTGACAGATTGAATATTTAGTAATTTCATGAAAAACTTACTTTAGTCTTAACATTAGTTTGTCAATTATAAACAGCAATTTGTTTTAATTTTGGAAATATATTCTTAAAGATTACAAAATCAAAGATAAATAATTATTTAAGATTTATAAAAATGCAGTAGGCAACCCCTTAAAAAATCATTAATAACAGGAACACTGAATATTAATGAATTTCTTCCAGAAGAGCTTAATTTAAATAAAATTTTAAAAAAATTTAAATAAAATTTAAATTTTTTTAAATTTTTAAATAAATTAAGTTCTTCTGGAAGAAATTGATCCAAAGTGGGGCTCAAATCCTCATCTGTTTAATATACAGATGTCTAGGTAGAGTAATTGACAGTACTTCTGTCCAGTCTTTGCTTCTAGACTAATTAGAGAGAGAACCATACAGATTACTTGATACACTGATTAGGGACAGCTTTGCACTCAATGCCCTCTATGGTTCATTTCACCTAAGCTTCTAACTTAACATGGTGTATGTATTACCGCTAAAGCTCAAAAGCTGTTAATGTGTGCATTACCTAGCTAATCTGCAGATTAACTCAGGTGATCTGTTAAAGCTGCGAAAATTATTCCATTTCTCAAATTACCTAGGTAATGTGCACATTACCTACTAGGCACTCGGTAAAGTGAAAATAAGATCTTTTGCTGGAACAACAGCAACATTTCTGTACACTTAAATTAACATAATGTTATTTATTTAATATTTGATATCTAAAGAATCAAGTTAATACAATCAAACAATCAACAAATTAGTTGATAGAATCAATCATCAATTAAAAAAACTAATACAAAAATCAAACGGTTTAAAATATTTTTATAATTAGGGAAATGAATTTGCAAAACATATGATAAAACTGTGCTTACTTATTAGTGAAATCTAAAGATTGGTGACACTTTGAATTACATAGCAATTTCTTTTTGTGACAAGCACACCTATTTGTGGTACATTTAGATTTGCAGTCACATTTTCATAAACCCTGCCCAGTACCAAGGGATTGTTTTATTGCTGTTTGACGTAAAGATATTTCTACAGCAGGGACATCCATCTTCTTTCGTTAAAAATCTCTCTTTGCAAACACTGAATTCAGATTTTGCATACAATTGTTTTAAAATACCTGTTTTAGTACCAAGTTTATAAAAGCCATCCCCTGTTTTACTAAGAACCACAGCTAAAATTGAGCGTGCATCAGTTTTTGCTCTGTCTTCTTCAGGTACTTTAATTCTCAGTGACGCCTTCATCGCCATTTGGGTGCTTTGCATTAGAAACTGCTAACATTTTCTTTGCTTTCTTTTCTAAACATTTCTTGGCTTCATCATGCTGTATTTTCTGATCCATATTCTTTTTCACAGATGTTGCACAATACATTCTTACCATATCCTTCCTCTTTAGGATCTAATTCGTCACAAACTACGTGAACAAACATATCACACAATTTACACTTGTGAGCACTTGATGCTGCTTTTGAGCAAACAATACAGACTGTCTTGTATAGTGCTCTTTACAGGCTCTGTACAAAACACTGATGGCAATTCTGCTGAAGTTGAGGGTAACTCAGTGATGACTTCTTCAACTTGCAGAGGCGATTCCTTGGAGGTGCAAGGTAACTGAACATTCCTCAATCAACGGTGTAGAAGGCAGTTTAAGATTACTATCGATAAATTCTTGTATTTCAATAGGTGATTTTGTAGAAGCAGGGGATAAAGGAATGTCATATTGAGTAAGATTTGACTGTGATCCTGTAATTAGTCTCTTGTGAATCTTTTTCAAGGTCTTCTTCAGTATTTATCGAATGTAATACACTTTGTGGTATAATAGAAAAAGACCATCCCACTTTGCGGGACAATCAAACATGGCTTCATATAGACTTCTTTTAATTGCAGAATGATAGGCACGATTCTTCATGAATTGTACAAATCGTACGTCCTCACTCCACTTGTTAGTTTGGCTATCAGTCATCCAAGTAGTTAGCATATTTTCAATGTCTTGATTCGCTTGTTCTACACTTCCTTGACTTTGGCTGTGTCTAGGTTTGCCATTAACCATTTTGATTTCTGGCCACAACTGTGTTACACATTCTAAGATTTTATTACAAAATTCACGTCCATTATCAGAATGCAAAATACTTGGAGCGCCAAAAAGGAGAAAAATATCAAGCAAGTTATAGGCTACTTCATCCACCCGTTTTGATGTGAGTGGCTTTAATACAACAAATTTTATTAAGTGATCTTGGTATACAAGAAGAAACTTAAACTTTCCATCTGGTTGAGATTGATAATCGATGAGCTCCACCTGGCATCTGCTATTGAAATGCAATGAAATAATCAGCTTTACAACAAGCCCTTTTTTCAAACTTTTAAGTTTTTGTTGACAAGGTTTGCATAAATCCAAAAACATTTTTATTTGGGCTTGGGCTGTTTTTATAAAATTTTTTTAATTGCTTGATCATTGTCTCTTCTACCATGGCCAATTGACAAATGAGTCGAATACAATATGTCAAACAATTCTTCAGCATGGACAAACTTTTCACACTTTCTCGCACATGTGACAATGGCTCAATGAGTTTTTCACAGCCTTGTACAGTCAACACATCATACATTTGAATTATTCGATAATCTCAATGATTCTTTCTTTTTGGAAACTTTTATTCGCTTTACTTCTTCAATTAAGGAATCATACTTTCATTTTGTCATTAAAACACTATTATATTTTGAATCTTCGCTAAAGAGGTTTGCGAAGAATCTTTTCTTCATTTTACTCACCAATTCGGAGCTTGTTTGCATACTAAGAGTTAAATTTATCTACTTTAAAAAAAAAAATCCCATCAGAAATTCACGTGCTAACAAACAGAAACGAATTTGAAAACAGAATTAGGTATGCGACGCACTGGTAGCCAATGCAAATTATGAGAAATAAAAACAACCGGCGACGACAAGACACTGACAAAACCAAATTAAAAGTGGAGGGAGAGAGGAAAGGAGTAGGGAAAGGAAATGAGAGAAAAAAACTTTTGAACTTTAATGAAGCAGAAGCCGTTAATGTGCAGATTAACTAGGTAAAATGCGGAAAACTCTTGATTCTGCACGTTTACGGATCACCTTAGTTAATCTGGAGATTAGCTAGGTAATGTACACATTAACAGCTTTTGAGCTTTAGCGGTAACACGTGTGTGTGTGTGTATATATATATATATATACACACATATATTTTAGCTAAATAATTATTTAGCCAAAGTTCCAGCTTGAAATCTAGTGGTGTTATTACTTACTTGCTAATTTTCACAAATGATGGTTATTATTTTAATAAAACCAAAACTAAAAGAAAACACCACTGCATAATAACTCCAAGTTTTTGTTGAAAGTATATAAGACTATTTGGCATACAAAGAAATAACTTAAGGGTATAAAAATATATATAAAAGAGCAACTTGTATGAAAGTTAAGAACTACTAGTAGTTTGGACATTTTTGTACATCAAAAAATTCTTGGTCATTCAAATTTTGAAATATGAATCATGAACCAATCATTGTGGTTCAGTACCATTGGGGGGAGGTCTGATGATGGAATAAATCAGTTCCAAAGTATTTATCCTTGAATAAATTGTTTGGCATCCTTATGTTAAATGTTCATAAATCTTTGTCTCTGAGAAATTGACCTTATTAGATGAGAAGTTTATAAAATTTAAATATTTTTCTCGTATTTTGAGAAAAAACAATGAAATTGTTCTCAATATGTTGTATATCACGTGAAAAATTTATTCACAATGTTTCCAAATTTATAATTTTTACAATTTTTTTCAAATTTACAAATGGTATAAAGTTTAATATACAACTCTGCACAAAAAATCTGAATAAGTTCTCTGTTGGAGCAGAGATTGCCAGTAGTAGTTTGGTTATATCTCTGGAAAGTGCTAATAATCAACAAAGCAATGAAGAAATGGATTTGTCTATTCTTAATGAAATAGGTATGATGAATACAGCTGATGCAGGTACAATTACATTGCTTTAATCAACATGATTAAGTGATCAACTGTTGCTTTGCACCTACAATAATCTAGAAATTCAAACTTAGGAATCTAGTTAATGATTAGTAATAATAATAGAAATAAATTATATTTATTTAAAATTTAGAAGTAATATTTGTTATAAAGTTACTGTGATTTGTTGTAAATGCATGTGTAAAAAGTTAATTATGCAATTCTGTTTAAAAAATGAATGTTAATCAGTTATAAAGATTTATTATTCAATATTCAATATTTAAGTATGAACAAATATTAGCTGCTCTCTTTGGTTACAGAAAAGATTAGGTTTTACTTGTATATTTGATTATAGGTAAGTTTGTAGATTTTAGCTGCTTTTAATATGATTAATTGATAACGGTTGACACTATTATAAATAAAACACTAGATTAGATTAAAAGATTTGTGTACATATATCTACTCAAAATTTCTAGACTGGTTTTAAAAATTTTTTAACCTTTTGAGTAATTAAACTTCATATTTTATTTATTTTAAATGCAATCTGTATCAATACACTTACTATAATGGCCATAACTTTTGGTGTTGACTTTGTATTTCTTTTATCCTTTTTTAAATGGCTTTTTATATTTACACTGAATTAATTGAAATCATTTTATCATATATTTTCAATAAAATACTTTCATGTAAAAATTTGATTTATAAATTAGAAACAATTTTTTTAGGATTACAGTGATTTTGAAGTTGCAAATGATGATGACAAATTGTTAATCTTTCTAAAGATGCAGGATGAATCTGCTGCAAATGAAACTACTGTTAATGGTAACAAAGAGGAAATAGTAAGTCATGTAATAATTTTTATTTGAAGATTTTCTTTTTATTATTATTGTTAAAGTTAAAGAAAAGAGGTTAAAATTAAATTATTCATAACTCAGAACAATGAATAGTTATTTTGGACAAAAATATTGTAACTTAAGAGTATCTACATAATTTTTAAATTTAAGCTAATCCTAATTTTGACACATCCTAAAACTTAGTAGTATACAATCATAAAATAATAGGTTTTTAAATAAATATTTTTAACTTTATATTTAATATAAGTCTTTAAATTTAATTCATTTAAATGTAAATTACTCTACAATAAAAATAATAATTAGAACTTTTATATGAATCCTCATAATATTTGATTTAAACACTAATATTTAGCATTAGATATAATGTAGCATTTCCACTAATATATGTTAACAATTTAACACAAACTTCTATTTTAAACAAACTGATGAATGCTGCTGACAGGAAAAAGCTATCTTTTAATATAAATAAACTTTTTCATTGAAATTTTTTCAATTGTGCCTGCAAGTTGGAAACTTTAGTAAAGTCTCAGATTTTACATTTCACTGTTTAAAAGTGCACCAGTATAGAATAAGGAAAAGACTACGGTGATTGCATGTTGTGGTTTGGATTTTGAACTTCAATTTCTGTTTCCTTAAATCATGATCTCTCAGCATGCAGAAGAGAGATCAGAAACCTGTTCATTTTATAGTTATGGCTAGGAGATTAGGATAGCTAGATTGGATAAAAGATTTGAATTAAGTTTTTTTTTTTTTTGTCTTCCAACTTGTTTAAATTTTTAGATCAGGTTTAGATTCAGAAAAATTCAATTTACATGTTGGCAATTCTTTGATTTTTACCTTACTCTTCCTAACAGTTACTTTTCAGATGATTTTGCTACTTTTAAAAAAGTTTAATTTCCTTAAGAGTTGACCAGCAACATTGTGTGCTATTTCTAATGTACTAGTACATAACTTAAAATAAGTATGGCAATAGACATTTATCTCTCATACAAAATGAATTGTAAAGTTCAGCAACATTTGTCTTTTGAAAATTTTGAATGATGATGATGCTGAGTCAACAGAAGTAGAAATGGCAATAAGATGTGAGATAGTGAAAATTGTTAACAAAGAAGTGAAGAAATTGTATGGGTAATCAGTATGACCCTACCCTGAATGATTGTCTAAACTGAATAAATGTCTAAACAGTATTTAGACATTTATTCAGTTTTCTGGTTAATGTCAATAAGTTATGGTGAATACAAAGTGTATATATTTTCTAGTTTTTATTTTATTTATTTTTTTATACAAGTGATATGACTTAAAATGTGAACTACATCTTCATATGAAAAACTTTTTCACTGAATATTTGTTTGTCAGAAGTTTGGCTATATCTGTAGTTTTATTTTACTACTGACAAAGTATTTGATTCTATACTCATTGAACTTTCAAAAAAGAAGAAAATTTGAATTTAAAAAATTTCATGTTACTATTAAATATTTTGTAAACTTCATCTTTCAATAAGAAAAACAAATCAAAACAACAAAAGAAAAAAAAATAACTTGAATTCAGTGAAACAGGCAAGATTACCGAACACAACAGAAGAATGAATAAAAATTATTCTTGATGTCTGATTACTAACTAAAACAAACTAAAAAAAAAGTCATTTTAAGAGAGTATTTTATTAAAAGAAAAAGCAAGATTTTATCAGGAACACAAAAATAAATTTATTTTGCATGTCTTAAATTATAAATATATTCACACTTAAATTTAGTTGCATTAATTTTGATAAAGACTGTTTAGATTCAGAAAATGTTTTATTTCTTAATGCTATATAAAATGTTTGTTGTATCTTTCAGATTTTCTTGTGGTATTTTAAATGTATGTTTTGTAGAAATAATAATTAAAGTAAGGTAGCAGTAAGAAATTTCAATTTTTAGATGCTATTCAGATTATTCAAAAAATGAGTCTAAAGAAACTTTCTTAGTTAAAATAATTATGAAAATAATATATACTTAATGAACAATGTGTTACATTTGTTTTATAACAATAAAATTGTTAAGTACTCTTTTTAGATAAGGGAAAATTTTTTTTCAAACTACAAAAACTTATTTTTAGTCAGCCAGCCAAATCAGCATAAATTTAGCATACATCAGCAATCTGCTTATATTATTGTATACTCTGAAATGCAAGAGAGAACAACCAGAATACTTTCCCAAGAGTGTGTATAAATTATCTGAGAAATGTTTGTCTTAAATAGTATAACTGCAGCTGCTGGCACTATTTTTGCTAGATCTAAAGAAATAGCCAAATCTTAGAAATAAGACATTTTCCTGACATTAGTATTTTTTGATTCTTTTGCAATACAGATTTCTATGAATATTTAAATATTGAGAAGTATTATTTTTATTATTTTATAAATTAATTTCTAAGATTTATCATTTAGTTTCATTCATAATATCTGTTTGCATTTTGTTATGGTATATGCTGTAGCAGTTTCCTATACTTAAACATAGTAATTTAATGGAAATTAACATTATTGTTGCCATTGTGAACAATTCCAGTTTAGGTCTTTATGGTAATCCATCTATATATAAGGTAGTATTCATTTCTCAGTCTACTTTTAAGATAGTTTTTTATTCTTTCCATTAAGTTTACATTTAAAGACTAATCTGAAAGCTTTGAAAATAAATACAGTAGTACCTCAGGATATGAAATTAATCCATTCCGAAACTGAGATTGTATCATGAAAATGTCATAAGGTGAATTATTTTTCTCAATACAACATGTAAAACCAAATAATCCATTTCAATACGAAAAACACACTCAAATTAAAGCTAAGTAATACATTGAAAAAAAATAACTTTAGTAAGGAAAACACTGAAAAATGCATTTTGTAGTTCTAAATGTATAAATAACCATAATAGATTAATAATTGATAATAAAAAAATGTAGTTTTATTTGCACTTTAGCTTTGAGGCTAGACAACGGTGGAGGTGTAAACTGGTGGCGGAGGAGAGAGAGAAGGGAAATGATACTAAAACTTACATAACATAATGTAATGATAACTTAAAAATAACTTAACACTAATTTTTTTATCTTTTCTGTTTTATATATATTTTTTTATTTTTTATTCACTGCTTTTTGCTTTCTTTCCTTCACTTCCACCAGCACNTACATAACATAATGTAATGATAACTTAAAAATAACTTAACACTAATTTTTTTATCTTTTCTGTTTTATATATATTTTTTTATTTTTTATTCACTGCTTTTTGCTTTCTTTCCTTCACTTCCACCAACACTTTCACTGGATAGAGGTTGCTTGGTAAAATATCTATCCAAAGAGGTTTGGCTTTGCTTACTTTTTAAAATGTTTCTAAAATGACTTAGGCAAATATCATTAAATCGAGCAGCAATACAGGGTGAACCTTTTTTGGGATGTTTCTTTTCAATAAAATCAGTCACCTTCTGATAATGCCTTAAGATTTCCTTTATAGAGCGAGATCCTTCCACGACAAAGCAAACACGCAGACTGAGTGAATAAAAAATGGCGTTGCAAACTAATGTAACATCGTATGGTGAGTTTTTGTTCATACCATGAAGCAAAAATATGTTCAAATTTCATGTCATATCCTGAAAATTTCATATGCTAAGGTACTACTGTATTTGAATTTGAGATAGTTTTTAATGAACACTTATGTGTTATTACTCTTCTAACTTTTTTTTATTGTTTAAAATTTTCAGATTAAATTTTTAGATAGCCAAATGCACTATTTTAAATTAATGATAATTCTAACAGGAATTATGATTAAATATTTGCTTATTTTTTCAAATAACAATTGATTAATTATATTCACATTTTATATTAATTGATATTTGAAGGAATATGCAAATTTTATTAATCATTCTGTTCAAACATATCTTATCTTCTTATCATCTTATATCTTATATATCATCTTATCATCTTATAAATATATCTTATTATCCTTAATGCTCTTTAAGAATTTATAAAATATAATCACGGCTCTTCATAACTATTCATTAGCAATGTATGGTCAAGTGGTGTAAGTATCCAAGAGGCATCAAATACAACAAAGCTGAAACAAATAAAATCAGATGACTATATTTTACACTTTTTCAGCAAGAGGTGTATTTAAGATATGAGGCTAGACGACGGTGGAGGCGTAAACAGTGAGGTTTACTCTCACTAGAAAAGTGTGAAAGGTTTGATAAAACCCATGAGATAACTGCACCTTTCCATATCATACTCATCAGCCAATTAAAACTAAGCTTATACCATTACATTTATCTGTAGCTCATGAGTATAGATATTGATAGTATTAAAGTTGGTTTCAACATTGCTGCTGCTTCTATGGTTGCAACAGGGGTTTGAAAAATTTAGATAAGTTTTTTCTAACAGGATGCAAGTGTAATGATTTTTGTATTTAAAATTCAGTATTTGGGATTTTAAGATAATATTTAGCTGAATCTTGTAGAATGATAAGTGCAAATACTCAAGTGTTTTGTCCACATGCTTTGTCATAACAGGCCAGTGTGCATTTACCCTATGAAATTATGATTGTTGGATTAAGTGCACCCTGGGATAAATGCATCCTGTTTGTGTTCTACATAACTTCAAGAAGTCTATGTATGGGTGAAGAAAGCACCACACTACTAGTTTTTTATTCCATCATTGTGAAGTGTCTGACATTTATGTTAGACAAGTTGTCATTATCCATGTTGATAAACACAGAATAAAATTTATATGCCTTGTCAAGAAGAAATCTACGGAAACGTTTGTTTTCCATTGGCTAGATGTGGAAGATAATGCAGACATTTCTTTCCAAGACATTAAACCATGTCTTCAGCACAGCATGTTTTGTGAAGAGACTTGATAATTACTTTTTGTTACAACTTTGGGTCTTGCTATGACATGAAGTAATATGGTTCAAAAGTACTCCTAGACTGATTTTTCAAGAGTTATTCTCACTGAATTTCATCTGTTTTGTAAATCAATTTACATTTTATTGTTACTAGGAATGTAAATTACAATAAAAATTGAATGTATGTTATTGTGACATCATAATAATGCTGGGCTGCAATTTTTAATCATCATTTAATTTAAAAAAATCATGTGACTTCCAGTCCAGACCAGAAGTCTAGATATGGAAAGCCTTGGGACCTCTGGCCCGAGCTTTCCATATCTGGTTGCTATTTTCATCTATCTAACTCCATTCTTGAGATTAATGATGGATGGATGGATGTACAACAGTGGGAATGTATAGGTCTGCAATCTGAAAATTGCATCCCAATGATGCCAATTTTTGTGTGCTGCCATTACTTCATTTGCTATGCCTATATTTGCAGTGGAGTGTACTGAAAGTTTATATATAAACAAAAGGTTACTGTCACAGCTTTGGCACACCTGCACTGGCATTTGATTTTATTTGGATTTTCCTAGTTATTACAATGGAGGGTGACTTATCTTCACTAATTAGGAGTAAGTGTACCTTTCAGCATTACTTTTAAAAACATTCTGGCTCAACAAATAACACTCTCTTGACTTGTGATGTTCACAGTTACTATTGAAATAGGTAAGTTATTTCAGCAGTTAGTTTTTGAAATCAGGTAATCTTTACTCTGCCTCACTGGCTGAGATTTTCAAATTCTGGAATTGATGGTGTACAGTACATACCACACCTGACCTTATTAGTAAATTTAATAAATTAATAATTTCTTGTTTGCTATTAATGATTCCCCTCAACCTTCTTAAAGATCAGGATTGATTTTGAAAGCTCTAGCAATATTTTGTGCTTTGTTGGCAGAAAATGAGAAGATTTCATCGACAATGTTTGCATCCTAATGTATATTGAGTTATATACCTTGTATATGAATTTGGTACTTTGAGATAGGATCACTTTAATGTGTTTTTTTTCTTAGAATGAAAACGAAGAAAATGTATATGAAAAAGAAACTGTTGATGTGAGTTATAATGAAACAAATGGAACAGTTGAAGAAACTAGGGAAGAGAAAAAAGAAACAGAGGCATCAGAACCAAAGGAAGAAAAAGAAACTGCAGAAAATGAAGAAAAAGAAGCTGAAGAAAATGAAGAGGAGGAGGATGAAGAAGATTAATGATACAAAATAAAAAAAATTCACACAACAAAAAATGGAATCAAAAAATATACCCAAAGTACCAAAAAAATGCATGATCAAACTTTAAAACTTTTACAATTTTCTATGGATTAATGTTTAGAATGTTAATTCTATAATTAAGTGTAAGTGTTCATTACCAATAAGTGTACTAATGCAAATAACTTTTATTTTTACAGCATGGAAAGATGAATTTCTGAATAATCCCTGGCAAGCAAAACATCTTCCCGCTTTGTTGCATGTCTGCTTATTCCTGCCGAATCCACTGAACATAAGAACAAAGCATGACCCAATTCTGCAACCTGTTTTTTAATTTTTTTTTATGATTTAAAAACTTTTGCACATTACTTTAACATTTGCATCACTAATGTTTAGAATTGTAGTCATTGTTTTGTGTTAATTGGCAGCTGTTAACATGTTCCTTCCATTTGGATAACTGTGATAACAATAACTATTGGTATGATACCCTAGATAGACAAATATAAATGATGATAAAGAAAATGCCTTATGCATGTTTGATGAAGCAAAAAATATGTTTAATGCATGAAATGTTTACCAATTTTGTTGTTAAGTCTATAGTATTATCAATTGATGCATTGAAATAACCTCAATTTTTACCTTAATCCAAAAACAAAATGCTTAAGAAGCTTTTAAATATGAAATATGCACAATTAAAATTGTCTACACACAGTAAAATTTTTAAACGAAATATAAATTATGAAGTTTTTAATGTTTAAAGGTACACTGAGATTTTAAAAAAAAATTGAGATTGTTTTCTTTTGTACTTAAATTCCGAAATTCACTATACAACATGGTAGAAAATTTATTTTTTTATGTTATTTTTCTGGATGTTACACCTACTTCAAGGAAAAAAAAAGATATATTTAATTTATGAAATAACCTTTAGATTTTTTAGTATATATTTTTAGTAGTAATATCTCAAAAAAAATTTTGAACTTTTTAAATGCAGCTAATACTTCTTTTGGAACAGTCTCTGCAGCAGTTTCTGCACACTGTAACAGCATAAGTAGTAACTGTACCAAAAGAATAACCATTTAGCTTCTAAAAATATTTTATATTGCTTAAATAAAGATATTTGGAATATAAATATATAAAAAATGTTTCTAAATAAATTAATAGGTCACTTTTTTGTTATTTAAAGCAATATAATGTTTGCTCAAAATATGAAGCTTTGAAAGTTTTAAAAAGTCATATTCTATTTTATTTTATTAATTTTTTTTCCATGATTTGACAAGTCCTTTTTGTGTTAATTATCCACAGTATGATGATTCTGTATTTATTGACAAAATTACAGGTTTGGAACCAGTGCCAATACACATTGATACTTTTTCTTGTAAAATCTTAAAAGATCATAGAAAACAGTTCATCAGTTTTAATGTAATGAGTATGTTGAATAATATACTCTCTAAATTGTCTTCATTTGCTGTGGATATGAAATGTAAAATATATAAATGTTGATTTGATCTTTTGTGATATCAATAAATCATGGTATTTATCTAAATTTATATACAATTTTTGTCATTTTTCTTTAAAAAAACTTCCTTTTAGAAAAAACAGTAAACATTAGATTTCAAAACCTGTGCTGTTTTCTGTATGGAGTTTGCTAAGCATTATATACATAGCACACATACTCAATGGCACTTTATCCTATGGGCAAACTGCAATTGCCTGGTGCCCCCACCAACAGAGGCCCAAATCAATCTTTTATAAACTAATGCAGGGCTGGAGCGCCAAAAATTGCCACCTGGAGCTAGCCAAGTTTATGCCGCTCTTTTTCTCAGTTGCTGGTAAGGAAGGGAAAAGATCATAAATTTTTTTATAGATGTGGAATATCATATAAAATCTCAATTTATTATTTTTTTAACTTTGAATTTATACAAATATCCACTAAATAATTAAAAAGCTTGCTTCAAAGTTTTTGGAGGGGTGAAGAATTATCTTCTCCATGGTAATCGTATTGTTTCTTTTTATGCTCAATTCTGATCCGAGGTTAGAGCTCGAAATCCGGAGATATTTTTATAGTAATTACTACCGGTACTATAGCACAGCAGAGCGTTTATAATCAATAAGACGACATTCCATAAAAATGAACTAAAAATTCTGATGCATTCCGATAAGACAGTATTAAGTTATTAAAGAACTCAAGAACACTTCGTACCAAATAACTCTGCATAAAAATTTAAATTTAGATATATTAAACGCTAGCTGTTTATTTTTGGTTTTAATCTCTATCTGTTCGTCCAAATAATTTTCTATTAGCGCATCATATACTTCTAAATTATCTCTTATTTTAATGCATCAATACAACTTTCCCATCTCGTATCACACCTTTTCAGGTTAAGGATGTTCCACTAAAAGATGAAGTGCTTTAAATGTAACGGGGGGGAATAATTCTTGCACCCGTGAAAAGATACTAAGTTCTAAATTTCTATTGAATAGAGATTCTCTATAATTAATAGAATTAGAAGAAAAAACGTGTTTGACTTTCTGAAAAATATCACCCTGGCATGGTCAAAATAAAAACAATAGAGCGCCAGTTGACGTATTTACATAGTTGGTTTTTTTTGATGATTTATCAAAGTAAATTATTTACTTATTGAAATTTTTATTCATTACAATGTACAACATTTGACTGAAAATGCCGTTCTTTTGAAGGGGTCTTCTCGCTCCACGCGCCGGCCCTGAACTAATGACTATAGTATGGCGCCAAATTTAAATTTCGTTATATCTGGAGACTCTAGATTGCCAGTGTGGCACAGGCGTAGTGCAGTGTAAATAATATGGCAGGTTGCTGACGTCAACATGTGTGAGAAAAAAGTGCATTAACTCTGTGTATAAGTTACACACATTTTGTATATATAAAGAACAAAAATATTTCAGATAGTTAATAAGTATCAGGTATTTTATTTTGTTGTTTAAATATTTATTCTGTTTTAATTCTAACACGTGATTTTGTAAAAATTTCGGGTGCTTTCAGCGTTACGGTAAAGGTTTCAGCTTTATTTTTATTGAAGAATTTGACTTTGAACGAATAAAACATTTCTTTAATTACAGAGAAAACCTGCTGAGTTTCATGAACAATTTTATACATTATGTTATTCAGAAATAAAATAACGTATAAACTAGCGTGATCTATTTTATACGAACTGCTTCCTTGGCAACTATTGTAGCGACATCTCGTGGTAAAAAGCAGAACTACGGCTACGGAATCGTTCTGTAGCCATCCGCTAGTAATGCTATGTAGATGGTCTCAGTTTAAATCTGTGCTATTGTTAAAATACGATTTCCTGTAAACAGAAGTATTAGTATTACCCGCGTACATTACATTAGCATTGAAAAATACACACTAATACTACATTAAAAATTCCAATAACGTCTCTAAGAACACCGAAAGAGACAGAGACAAAAATATAACAAGTAAGACGTTACGTGTATTGAAATTAAACGAAAAGAAAGTAGTGTAACGCATTGTCTGATGGTCTCGATTGGATAAGGCATAAACAGTACTTTCGAATTTTCAAAATACTGTATCTAATGAGAAGTTCCAAATACTTGTTCAGGACTTTATTTAACTGAGCTTTTGATATAATAGTTTTTTCGTTTTGGATTCGTATCTAACCCGAACAAACCCTAAACAACAAAAAGGTATTTATCATTAGTTTTAAACATCTCTGTTGTAAGTTAGTTGTATATTTCCAAGAATGGTGTATGAATAAATGAATGACTAATGTCTTAAAAACAAATATTAAAGTTTATATCATCTTGATTATCAAAGAACCATCAAAACTCAAGTTTTATTTTCTAGGAGCTATTGTACCAGGAAAAACTGCATTTAAAAAAAAAATAACCGACAAATCGACTATATACAACAAACGTAACCAACAAATCGACTATATACAATAATTCGATAGGAAGAGCATTCCGCTATGTTCTCGCACCTTTTTTGGAACTTAACACCACCGTCTTGGTGTTGCCAACTCTCTCCAATCATATTATTAAATATTAAATCTATACTAATATTATAAAGAGGTAATGTTTGTAAGTAAGTTTGTTTGCAGCAGGTAATCTCCGAAACTACTCATCCGATTTCAAAAATTCTTTCACCAATATTTAGAATGGAACTTCAGGGTGGACATAGGCTGTATATTATTCCGTTAAACATTCATATAAATTAAAAGATATAATCTAGGTTAAGGCTTTTATGTCCAACAGATGGCGCTACGAGTACGACGCCCTAAGTTTGCTTTTCTGTGAGGCATTATGCTTTTCTGTGAAAATGAACTAAAGCNATAACAATGCGCTTAATTATTGCAAATTATTTTTCCCGTGATGCTTGAAAGATTCGTCAGATCAGAGCAATGCGAGAACAAAAAAAAAACAACAAAAAATGTCACAGCAAATTTCATAAATATCAAAATTAGGTTGGTCACAAAGCAGAATGACAGTTTCCTAGATATTCTAGCTTATGGGAACTTGCAGAAAAAATAAAATAAAATAAAAAAAAAGATTATCATTACATACTTTCATTAATTATGCATTTAGATTGAACACAATAATTATAGAATGCATTTGCAAATAAAATCAATAGAGAAAATTACAAAAACTTTAATTATAGATCCGGGAAAAGACAGAACTTCCGCAGAATCCACGGGTGGTGCAGACGAATTATCTAGTGTGTGTGTGTTTAAGGAAATGTAAATAAACGTTAATTCACTCCCATTGAGAAATTTAAACAAAAAAGCATATTCTTTATATTAAAGAATGCTTTTAACAAAGAGTTTAATAAACTTAACCTCATATTTTTGATTCTCATCATGACGTATCTGTGCCACGCTAATCGGGTATTGGGTGGGAGAATTTCTTAATAACTTACCCCCCATCTGCTTTGATGGATGATTGATATTGCTGGGATAAATGCCGTGTCACGATGCTGCATTACAGAACTTTTATCGTGTGCAGACTGCTGCTTGTGCTAAAAAAAACTGAATCAAATGCTGCATTTAGGAAGACGATGAGGCAGGTGTTTTCGTAATTTAAACTTAGAATTGCAGATTTCACCGAACGACGTCCCGATTAACAGAATTTGGATAATCCCTCCGCCGAATTATGGTCAATTCTGTAATGTATCTAAAAATAAAGTTTAATTAATCAAAGACGAAGCCGAAAATTCCACATGTCCAATTTTCTAGTGAAGTTTTGATATCATCTGCACCGAATTCTTAAGACCATGTCCTTAATCCTCGCTCATACTATAAATTAATGTCAACTGATAAATCTCGGCGTGCTATAGATTAAAAAAGAATGACAGATATTAAATTATCTGTACAGAAATCGCAACCGAGTAATTTCTGGCTCCATAGGCCTATCCTATTTTACAATCTATCATGCGGCCTTAGTAACTGAGGGAAAAACAATCATTAATATGATCAGATTTTCCTTTTATATACTTTAGTATTTTCCTGAGATTTTTTTATTCTTTTATTAATTTCTTTCGGTAGTTTTTAATAAAGAAATTATTCTTTATTCGTCGAAAATTTACCCACGTTTCCGGCTTTTGTCTGAAGTCAATGCCCGAATCTCAACACCACAATCGATCAATATCCAGAAAACGGCATAACGAATGGATCCTGTATCCGTTATTATTATTATTATTTATTATTATAATTATTTTTTTAAGTTTAAATTTCTAAATTTCAAAGTCAAAACGAAACTGGAGAATCTATTTTTATAACTGGGAAGCGAGTTCTTTAGAATTTCAATTTGAAAAATTTAATTAGGTCTAGCGCAATAAATGGCTATTGCAGTTTTAAATGCGGACGTTTCGTGTTCGGAATGTAACAAAACGGTTAATTCGGGGGTGTTTCCGAGAATTAAATGATCCTTAATGGTTCCGATGTAGGAAAAATATCAAAAACTGGCGTCGTGCTTGTCGCGTGGCAGTCGTCTAAATAGAAAATGGCCTGGGGACAGATTACTATCTAAAATGCCATTTTGCACGAAACTCTTTTTATTGTCACTGATCTGACAGAGGATTTGGAGACTTTCAGATGCTATCTTCATCATATTCTCTTTATTACACACTTTCTATCTTGATAAAAATGTCTGAGATAATCTACAAGAAAGGAAAACTTAGAAGATAATAAAGCATACTTTAATTTAAGACAAACAGAAATAAAAAAGATCTATATATATATATATAGTATAAATTCCACCCGAAAATACAGTAGTTCTATATCTATTTCAAACACAATTTTTAAGTTATTTATAATTTCTCATTTAAATAACATTTGTCTCCAATTTTTCATGTTTTAAAATATGGCTTAAAATAAATATTTTCCATATTAATTAATGAAACAAGTTTATAGTTCTAGTTTTTATGGCATTTTATGTTTATTGAAATGATTATTGTTACTTTAAAACTTTCCCATAGCTATTAATATTTCTTCTAAACTAAAATACAAGCAAATTAAGATGCATGGCTTGATTCATTTTTAATATCTTTATTCAAATTCCTGACTGGGAGATATATAAAAGGGGTAATTACTAAATGCCAAAGGTATGTATTAATAGTTATCGCCGAGTTAACTGGTTAAAGACCCTTTTAAGTATTACCTAACGACTGTAACCATTTAAGTTCGACAGTCATACGCACACATCCTTGTGGCCTGGATATAGATTGCAATATTTTAACCGCAGCAATGAAAATAAGTGGGCCAAATGCAGCCAAATTTGGGGTCCATGACCTCTTGCATATTAATTTTCAATGATCCTATTAAAGCCGTCCGGCAAGTTTTCCACACGCGTATTAAACAGTTTGATTTTTTCTTCTTTCTTGTAACGCAATTAAAAAATACATATCTCTTCGTAATACGACAACAATAATTTTCTTTTTTTAATTATTCTTTGATCGTAAAAATCAGAGAATATGTCCCAGCTGTGTAATTGTCTTTGGTGAAACTAGAACATTCCCCCAAGCCAATAAGAAGTGAAAATTTTAAAACTTTGAAACTTTATTGTACGTTTTAAGTAGCAGAAACGTGGGTCACTAAAAAGAAATCTGGTGCAGCACATTTTCTAGTGCAAGAATGTAGTCTTATGTTAATTTCTGTCAACATAAATCTACTTCTTCTATATTCTATCAGATAAATTAAAAATTAATTTTTTAAATTAAAATTAACTGAGTAAATTAACCTCAATATTAACAAAAATTACAATTTTTTTTATTTAGAACAATTAATTAATATTAAATTTGTGTTTTCTTTCTAGATACTCATGAAAACTAGTTAAGTAATAGAAAAAATTTATGAGTTTTCAGTAAAATGTTGTATTAATTGCATGACTAATAATTTAACAATTTCATTAAAAATAAAACAAAAAATTGTTTTTTGTTTTTAATAAACAAAGCTAAAATTTATTACTATTATTATTATTTAAATTCTATAATATTTACAGAATATTTGAAATATTTTTACAAGCAACTTGATTCCTTTTGTTTCACTTTCTTATTATAATAATGTTCAATATTTGTTTCATACAGAGGAACTCCATGTAAAACTTGCGAAGAACAATTTACAATCTATTAAGAAGAAAAAACAAAAATTACATATATTTGTTTGTAGATTTAATTAAAAATATCTCATCTTTAATTAATTAAAAATATTTCACCTTTACTACTACATAATTTCCAGCTGAAATTGGTGTTAATTGATTCTGATGTAGTTCATCTGGAACAGATGTTCTTGGAAATATCACTTTAATATTACCATCATTTCTACCAAAGAAATAAGAATGAGATTTCTTGCTGAACTGTAAATAAAAATAAATGTTATTATAATTCATATTCTTCAAAAGAAAAGTGAAGAATTACATGTAAACTAATTTCTTGTGTTGTTAATTTCTTTATCTACATTCACATCTTTATAAAAAAAAAATATAATAAAATAAAGATTAAAAAAATGTAATTTATAAAAACTCAAATTTGCTTACTCCTTCTACCAAGACTAATTGTTCCGTTCCTATTTTTTGTTTGTTGAGTTCCAAGGCGAGAGGTCGAAATGTGTCACAGATTTCTCTTAAACGAGTTAGTTTGGTTTTGTGAGGAACATCATCATTCAAACGATGATAAGCACGAGTTTTCTAAATTAAAAAAAAAATTAAAAAATGAAATAAATATANTTTCGAAAAATTTCCCCCCCTACGGGGGAAGTGTTCTAAATTTATAATAGCTACATTTTGAGCCAAAACAACGCGTGGCGGGGTCTGCTAGTATTAACAATTAAAAAAAACCATTAATTAAAACCGCCCGCCATCTAGCGGGATGGACGGGTCACCTGGCAACTCTAAGTCTCAACATATTTGCCATTTTATATCAAATATTTTAAATTAATTATTATTGATCCCTCATATACTATAAAAGTTTTTTATTGATTGTTATTAACGCAGGTTATTTATGGTGTAATAACATTAACCAACGTCTACGAGTTGCCATTATATATAAATTGTTGGCATCTTTGTCTGATAGATATTACACAATTAAAATTATATTTCTGGAAGTATAATTTCAATTTTTGACGCTCAGCTTACGGGAAATCGTAGGAATTGTTTAATTTTAAAGGATTTTTAAGGAACCCGTTTGGTTGCATGAGCCGAATATATTGTAGTGCAACACAACTTGTTTCCTAAAAACCTTCGTAAAACATTTATAAAGAAGGAGATGTAAACTTAAATATGTTATTTGTATAATGAACAATTCAAGTATTAATTAGGCCTAATGGCTGATGTGAACTGAATTTAAAATACGTAGAGGTAAACCATCGCTTGTGTTTCTTCTGTAATATTATACATATGCTATGTATTTCGCTGTCAAAAAGATTTATAGTGGTAATAGAAAAGATATTTCTTAAATCTGCGGCGGATCCCTTGAAAGCTGCTGTAATCGTGTCAATCAAATTAAAATACATTTTTAAATTTCTATAAAAAACATTCCGGTTCATAGGAAAAAAATCATTAATAATCTCGCTTTGTATTAACTGTCATGTTATTTCCAAATTACAATTATGGTTAACCAACTAAGCTTGACTGATTAAGTGGTATTTTATCATAATCTTCAGTCATGCATTGCATTTCGACCCTATTACAATTGCTTAAACCAGTTACGCAGTTTAATTCAAAGATTATAATGCTTTAGTTTTGTTTGAGGATGACGTATTCATCTGTGCCCCCGTTCAAAACATAAAACTTTCATTACAGTTGCTATTATTAGTGAATTTAGCAATGAGCCGAAAGTCAGTAGAAATAATTGTAATTGCTACATCATCATTCGCGTGTATCATTCTGTTTTAAATGCATACTAGAAAAACTTTTATTTGAAATTAATTACAACCGTTACATTAAATAATTTGTCATCTACTGTTCAATTCATCCTACTGTACTTTCTCTTTAATTGGCAGTTTTGTCAGAATTCATAAAATTTACATAGAAATTTCAATATCCGTTAAAAATTTTATGGGTATTTATTATTATTTAACGCCAATTTTTTGTAATGCATAAAAACTAGTGTTACAATTGGTAGTTCATTAAATTAATTGAAGTATAATAAATTACTATCAATTTGCTCTTATCTTATTGAATTTTAACGAATTTTTTTGCGTAACAAGCCTTAACCAAAGTCATAATTTTCAAATTTAACAGGCCATGACGAAAAGTCATGCGTGTGATGAAGCATGAAATTGGTTTTAAAAGAATCAATGGTACAACTAATCATAAACAAACAAACAAGTTTAATAAATATATTTAATCAAAACAATAAAAGTGGCAACATAAACACAAATTTCACAGATAGACTTAATAACATAAATATATTTATATATATAAAGACCATTTTTTGTTGTAATTTTAAAAACTATCGAGTATTTGTGGTCGCAAGGATACAATTATTATACATACTCAATAATTTACTACATCATCTCGAAATTAAAGGATAATTAAATCATTTTTGTACTAAATATATAACACTCGATGACTGAAAATGGATAAAGTACATTAAAAAAAATATATAAGTAAATGCGCCGTATTTGTTTATTTTTGCACTCGCAGAATTGTGGCACTAGATTTAAAAATGCTCTTGAGATCTTCCTTAAATACTTGCAACTTTCTCCCGAAGAGTTTTAGTCTCTGTATGGCAATTCGGTAAATTACTTTCCACAAACCAAAGCACACTTACCAGTTGGTTTGATGGCGAGTAATAAAGGTAATATTTTAGTCACTTTAGGTTGAGGTTTGCTTACGATAATGGCAGTAGGGGGTTCGGGTTGAACAGCTTTGGTAGTGATAGCTATCACTTTTAGACCCACGGGTCTCGGGGGCGAAATTTCTGGTTTTCTAATCACAACCCTTCCGGGTGCTCCTCCATCGATAGACCTTATTCCTCCCAATACCAAACCCGAACCGCAACCACCTTTACATCCGTTATATCTTAGACCAGGAAAGGGTCCGCATCCGCCATTTCTACATTTGCTGAAAGTTACTAAACGAGGACCTCCGTGTCTAATTGGGTAAAAGTCTCTATGTCCGTCATCCCCTGGTTTACCTCCGAAAACATTAACAGATTGATATCTATCGCCATTCGGTCGATCTCCGTAATCTCTATGACCTTTGAAGCGAATAACTTTGGATTCGGGTAAAGGTCCGAAATCTTCGTATGGTAAAGGTGATTTTTCGGCTGGCGGAGGTGGCGGTGGAGGTGGAGGTGAAAAGGGAACATACTTTTTACTTTTGCTTAAGACAAATTCTGGATCTTGAGGAGGGTAATGCCTATATTTATGAGGTCTTAAACCCATTAAATGATCATAAAGATCGTGGTAGATAACTGTAATTCTGGGTCCTTTATAGAAATCATAACCTCTGCCTAAGAATTTCTTACCATGAGGTGGTGGTTCCCTAATAAACGAATGTTCATCTGCATAATCCTTTGGCGGTGGCGGTGGCGGTGGCGGTGGATGTTTATCAAACGAATAACTATCTGCATAATCTTTAGGTGGCGGTAATCTCTCTTTATCGTAAAAAGCTCCGTCATATTCTTTAACAGGTGGAAGTGGTCTTTTATCGTAGGAATATTCGTCGTCATAATCTTTCGAGGGAGTTATTATTGGCTCCTTATTATATAATTCTCCACTATAATCTTTAGGATCTGAGGATGAATGTGGTCCTTGACTGTATGAAAAGTGATATTGTTTAGAAGGAGTAGGAGGAGGCGGAGGTGGTGGTGGGGGTGGTGGAGCTTCCTTTTCGTAGACTATTTCTTTCTGATAAGATTTCACTGATGGAGGTGAGAAAGGGACATATTTCTTAGCTTTATTCAAAACAAAGTAGTCGTCGTCTCTGCCATCATGGACTGGATATTTATAAGGTCTAAAACCCATCATATTGTTATACAAATCGTGATAAATGACTGTAATTCTTGGACCTTTATAGAAATTATAACCTTTGCCGTAGAAATCTTTATCATAATTTCGTGGATATTGTGCACGATCTTCAGGATCCTTACCATATGATAATCCATCATAATCTTGAGGAGGCAGAGATTCTTTTACGTAAGAAACTCCTCCTAAATAATCTTTAGGAGGTGGAACTTCCTTGTCAAAAACAATTTTCTCCTGATACGATTTACTTGTAGATGGAGGAGGAGGAGGAGGAGGAGGTGGTGGTGGTAATTCTTCTCTTTGATCATAATCATAGTCCTTGAATGGTGGCTTTTTTATTACAAGGCCATCTCCATAATCCTGAGATGGTGATGGCGGTGGTGGTGGTGGAGGAGGAGGGGGCACATATTTGTTCTGTTCTTCGTAATCTCCAGAAGGAGGCTGCACCTTAATAGCGGCATGCTCTTCAACATAATCATCAGATGGTGGTGGTGGTGAATATTTTTCCTGGTCTACAAAGCTTCCAAGGGGAGGAGCATATTTATTAAACCAAACATTATAATGAACAAGAGATTTTACCGGTGGTGATGGAATATCAGCATCTCTTACAGGAACTTTTTCTTGAATGTATACTTTAGAAGGAGGAGGAGGTGGAGGAGGAGGAGGAGAATAATCTTTCACTACAAGAGTAGACGGAGGAGATCGAGGTGGAGGCGGAGGCGGTGGAGGCAAGCCTTCAGAGTCAAATCCATTAGGTTTCTTGAAGTCTCTTGGTGAATCATATGGCTCTTCATAATCTACTCCAGTCAAAACTTCTCCTGAAACAGATGGAGGAGGTGGTTTGTTAAAGTAAGTCACTTGTACTGGAGTTTGTGGTGGAGGCGACGGAACACGATGACCAAACCCGCTTATTGCGACTTTTTCACCTTCATCGATTAATGGCGAAATAGGAGCAGGTACACGTTGGTCGAAATCCTTCACACCTATTGCGACTTTTTCGTCTTCAATTACAGGAGGAAGAGGTGCAGGTACGCGTTGACCAAAACTTTTAATAGCTACCGGAACTCTTTCACCCTCGTCTATAAGAGGTGGAGGTGGAGGAGGGGGAGGAGGAGGATGAGGTCTTCCAGATCCTATTAATTCCCCTCCACCCTCAGCTTCAACTTTAACACCAGTAGGATGCCTATTAGATATGCCTGGTTCGTTAGATCGTATTTTTGCTCTGAATCCAAGGGAATCGGCTATATAATCCACGACACGGAAAATTCCGTTGGGTGTTCGGAAGCCATAAGATCCTCTTACTACACCATCTTTGTTACCGTCTTCTTTACGGAATTGTTCTCCCGCTTTTGGATCTTTTGTTTCAAAACTAAACTGATAAGGTTCCGGAGCCTAAATTATGAAAATGTGTAGTTTAAAATTAAATGCTATTTTACGAATAATTCTACATATTTAAATTAAATTTACAACTTACAGGATGTGGCGGATCGCTAGTCTCCGAAGCCCGAAGTGTTTCTTTCGTGTTTCTCAAATTGGTTGCTTGCGATTCCAGTGGATCTTTAACTTCTTTTTTGCTGCTGGCTTCGGCTTGAAGCGATTTTTCTCCTTTATTTGATTCATTTGATACTTGCTCCTTCTTCTCTTCGGCTTGCACAATCGTGGCTAACAGTAATATAGCCGCCGCCACCACGATAAACGTGGTCTGCAAGATAAAAATCACTGTGAGAAATGTTAGTAACTAAAGCACATCAACATTGTTTTCACTATAATTTCAAACCTCGACGGATTATTTTACACTCTAATTCTAAACTACGGCATAATAATCAATAAAATATCTTTAAAGAATTAAATTTTTATTAAAACTAATCGAGTAATTTAATAAAGTAATTCAGATCAAAATTTACTTAGAGAAATTAATTTAGAACAACATCCACCTCCTACCAAATTCATAAATTCTAAATTAATCCATAAAAAAACAAATGCACTTAATGATCGGAAGCAATTTCCCAAAAATCGAGGTCTTCGAAATGGTAATCCACGGGCATCTTTAAAACACTTTTACTGTACTCACTTTCTCCATAACGGCGTAGGTAAAACGGTACTCGAGTCGATCCCGATCCACCTGTCGATCCACTTGCCTACGACAGACAATGCAGATTCGAAAGTGTCCGCTTCAATTTATACTGGGTCAGCCACCCATCTAGTTCAGTGTCCTGCATCAGAATGTTTGAGGCGTAAAAAAAACTCATCCGAAGGAGGCGGAGAAAGAAACACAAAAAGAAAAAAAAATCTATCGAATGATCATTTTAATGCAGAGATCATTTTAATGCCCGCGGACAACCGGTTTTGCGGGAGGGGTCCCCATGTCGACCCTACCTGATCTAGGACTAATCTTTAGCTGAGGAAATACAGAACCGACAGGACACTGACCTACCTTCGTCTTGTGACGACGTATTGGATTTCTTACATAACAAATTAATCCCAAATGTTCGAATCGCGGAAACGATTCTATAAGATATGGCTCGATGAATCAATTATAAATCGGAAGTCGAATGTAAACTGATAAACCAGTTAGTTGATCGCGGTGATTGATCCATCAGCGTGATCAACTCGGCCTCCATTATCCTAACATGATTCCCTCCTTTCCCTTATTTTCGATATAGGTCTATCATATACAGCAAAGTAAACATCGCATATATTTAAAAAAAATCTCTCTCTAAATTATCTGAAACAAAATGGAGGTCAGCCGATTTTTATCAAGTGAAGAGAAAACTTAATTTGGATTTTTTTAAAATTAATTATGTCATTATTATTTTTTTAATCCCCGCGGATCGTATAAAATGATTGCGTTGTGTAAGGATTACACCCTGCTAAGTAAATAAAGTTAGACGAGAAGTGACAGCACCCGATGAAATAGATTCGCATCTTTCCTCTTGCATAATAATGATGTGCTCCCGATAAGTTGCGTGTTGGTCAGGCAAACCAAATTATTTCCCCGAATTCGACCTATAATTCGCAGGAACGTGTCTGTCGGTCAAGAAAGATCCTGTTATGACGTCAAAGGAAGAGTGGTTTTCCCCTTGTTTACTTGCTCCGGATGAACTAGTTACACCCACCTCATTCTACGTGTGAAGAATATTTTGATCGGATTTTTACATATTCTTACAAGCACATGCTGGCAAAAAAATTTTTTTTTTATTCATCTGATAGTAAGAAACCAAGTTACAGTTTCAGCTTACTTACTAGTGGAATTTTAACAATTCCGAATATTTTTTCTGCGCGTTTAACTTTTAATTTCCATTTGCTTTATTAAAAAACGTGCCGTAAACACTATAAATTATTCTTTTCTGTGTATTTTTGAGCTATTTGATGAAAAAAGTAAGCTTAGATATTGAGTATGGTTCAAATCGTGACTATAGAAATACCAATATTAAGTATACCGGTCTGGTTTCGTTACCTAATAAAGTTTTGAGTGATTGCAAAATAACAGATTTTTTTTCTTCCATATTAACGGATATACATATTTATCAGTCAAAAATATAAATTATTATTCTAAGGCACGAAATATTTGTTTATTTTTAACTTAGATTTTCATTTTTAATCGAATGGTTGGTGTATTTATGGTCCTTCTTATAATAGATTGGATACAATGAGATTGGCTATCAATAGGTAGAAAGTATGTCTCTGTATAGAAAAAGAAAAAACAAGAATTTATTTATTATCTCTCTCCAATATCTATCTATATACTATTGAACTTATCTTTCTATTCTAAAAACAGTTTTCGTATATAAATCTTTAATAAGATTTTAATAATTTCATCAAAAAAAATATATATATATATTATTCTGAAATCTCAGTGAAGAATTTTAGCAATTTGATGCTAGAATCGAGGGATTCTAGCATCAAATTGCTAAAATTCCTCACTGAGATTTCATAATCCTTGATTCTAGCATCAAATTGACTATATTATATCTATTCCTGAAATCTCAATCGAGGATTCCAGCAGGTTTCAGGAATGGACATAATACAGTTAATTGCTTGATACAGTTTCAGTTTCAAGCATTTCTTAAAGATAAATATAAATAATTCGAAATATAAACTCTAATTATTATAAAAATTATAATGAGTCTGATTTTACTTTAGAAAATCAAGAGAGAGAGAAATCCAAAAATTCTTAAACAAAACGCTTGATGTTGCTTCAGCTTAGTCCTGAAATCATTTCAGAATTCATTTCAAGATCTTCATGAAATACATGCGAGTATACGAAACAAAAAGCTAACATAATCTAGTTTTTTAATTGCTAAAAATTATAATAATTATTTGTTTTCCTTGTTTTTTACCCTTGAATATACATTTTTACATATGGCGATGGTTTTGTTTACTTGTAGGCCTACAATTACCAATCCCTAAAAAATACATTGTCCTTATCTGTATTTTATTCTTTTTAGAAAAAAGATTTAATTTCCAATAAAAAAATTAATCGAATGAAAAATTTTTTACGCATATTTTACTAATTGATAAATCTGTATTATTCATTTTAAACGAGGAATCGACTTAATTTTTGGAATTCTTTACGTATTTTCCAAAGCCAAACTTTGAATTACGAATTTGATAATAGTATAATTAACTTTTGTATCTTTCGATCAAATTCACTCCAAATTCATTTAATATGTACGAATAAAAGAAAAATAGGATACAAATCGTATCCTAAATTTAGTCTCTTCGTGCGCTGTGCTTTGCATTTGGTATAGCCTCAAAATTCGACACGTACAGAAAGGGAAAGTTAATATCGCAAGTTGCATTTCTGAAAGATTCAAACCTGTTTACGAAATCAAGTTTATGTAATACCAAATACGAAAAGTATGGATTTTTTAAAACTTTTTCTTGATTTTTTTGTGCAAGAAAAAGATTTCTTCTGATTGCATTCCGATCCAAAGTGAAAGAAGTTCATCAGGATAACGATCGAACTGTGGCATCGTCTCTTATAATATTCTTTCGACCTAGTTTAATCAAAATTTCGCTTCGGGTTAGAAATTTTATTTTAGTTTTTTTTTTAGATTTGTTTTCTAGATTGGATCTACGTAATATTTTCCAGAGTTCTACGAAATACAAATGGACTTAATGTTAATTTAATTGTATTCTACATCCTATCAGGATGTAAAGATGCAAATAGGCTAATGTTCTATAAATAAAGCAGGTTTAATCTTTGGAATATCTATGAAACGATATCAGAGGTGCTGGAATTTATAAAGAAAGGAATTTTTCCTCCTTCTTATATAAGTTTTCTTAAGATCACGTCTGACCCGAAGAAGACTTTTCCGTCAGTGACACCGAAATTAAATTATTTGTCCTCCAGTCAAAGCAAGAATGTTTTTTTTTTTTTTTTTTTTCCTTCGACTTAACCCATCCGGCCTCATCGATGACCCATTTATGTAGCAACTAGTTCAGCTGTAACTCGTATTATTGTATCCACGGTTCGGTCCAGCCTCCAGGAACATAAGTTTTTTTATTGTTAGAGAATCAAACCCCATTATTATTCACAATTTAATAGCCGCAGAGTTGTTTCCGAACACGTGAGCAACAACGTGAAAAAATATAAAGTTTTCCGTGGCATCGGATGCACACGAGAGAATGGAATATTAACGAGCAAGGATGTAAATGAATATTTTACCCTAAAGGAGCCTTACTAAACTATTTATCCCCGGCAGGAAGTACTGAAATTCGAAATGGCTATCGGTCCTAATTTTCAGTTAGGTTTATAACCTGTAAAAGTTCGAGACACCGAAACGACACTATTACTATTCATGTTTTTTTCCCTAAGGTTTCATCTTTATAAAACGTGACTTTTTTCTGAAAGCTTTTGGACGATTTTTATGTAAATAAGGTCGCAGTTTTATTTGCATAAAGTGTGATTCGAAAGATTCGATTGTATGAGCCTTGTAAATGCAACAACAGAGAGGTGTGGTTACATAAACGTTGCAACATTTAGCGAATGGACAGTAACATAAAAGAACCACAAATTTAAATAGGTTAACCTAGTCTTGAATATCTCAGTATGACCAGTGACCAAGTTTCTACAAAAAAACACCCTTTTATATGTCTTGACCTATCTAGTTGCTTGAAATTTTTAATTACGCATAGGTGCGTCAACCGTATGGAGGGTATAGTCTAAATGAAGGCAATCCCCATTCATTTTAATTAATAGAAATAAAGGGCAACAAAGAAATATTCGTGGTTTATTGCTGGGAAGTTCAGAAACGAAAGGTATTTCACGCCAACAGAATTTCTTTTTGTGTGAAAAATAATTTTATTTCTATAAATGGCAATTCAAAGTTTTGATGGCGATCAAATTACCTGTATAACCTATAAAAAAATGTCGAAATATTTAAAAATCCATTGTTTGCTCGTTCGGATAAGTAACTAGATCCATGATTTATCAAATCATATTACGTAATTGTTAAATGTTTGACCCTGACAATAGGCGATTAAATATGGCCAGAAAGAACCTCCTTATTGTAAACGGGACAAAGTATTAATCAATAATCCCACTGTTTGATAACTGACGTCATTTCACCAAGAATTATTTACACCCATAAAGCTATGGGTGAGGCTCCGTCCTGATTTCGGTTAACGAAAAAAAAAATCAAAATTGATCATTCTGGGTCAAACTTGTGCATCTTTCTCACTTTCTATGGCGTCATGCTGGGTGAATATAAATCCTTTTTCCCTATTTTAATTTTTTTTTTCTTGTATAGAGTTGATGAGAAAGGAATTTGTAAGCGTGTCGGCATTTGGATCTCATAACAATGCGCTTAATTATTGCAAATTATTTTTCCCGTGATGCTTGAAAGATTCGTCAGATCAGAGCAATGCGAGAACAAAAAAAAAACAACAAAAAATGTCACAGCAAATTTCATAAATATCAAAATTAGGTTGGTCACAAAGCAGAATGACAGTTTCCTAGATATTCTAGCTTATGGGAACTTGCAGAAAAAATAAAATAAAATAAAAAAAAAGATTATCATTACATACTTTCATTAATTATGCATTTAGATTGAACACAATAATTATAGAATGCATTTGCAAATAAAATCAATAGAGAAAATTACAAAAACTTTAATTATAGATCCGGGAAAAGACAGAACTTCCGCAGAATCCACGGGTGGTGCAGACGAATTATCTAGTGTGTGTGTGTTTAAGGAAATGTAAATAAACGTTAATTCACTCCCATTGAGAAATTTAAACAAAAAAGCATATTCTTTATATTAAAGAATGCTTTTAACAAAGAGTTTAATAAACTTAACCTCATATTTTTGATTCTCATCATGACGTATCTGTGCCACGCTAATCGGGTATTGGGTGGGAGAATTTCTTAATAACTTACCCCCCATCTGCTTTGATGGATGATTGATATTGCTGGAATAAATGCCGTGTCACGATGCTGCATTACAGAACTTTTATCGTGTGCAGACTGCTGCTTGTGCTAAAAAAAAACTGAATCAAATGCTGCATTTAGGAAGACGATGAGGCAGGTGTTTTCGTAATTTAAACTTAGAATTGCAGATTTCACCGAACGACGTCCCGATTAACAGAATNGAGCCTTAGTCCGTAAAGTTCACACCTATCGGGCTGCGATTGGCTCATGTATTTAATCATTCCTACAACGTAATTTTCGGTTAGCGTGGAACGTATCTAAGCGTTATAGGGGGGTCTACTGTATATAGGTATTCCTTGCTTAACTTGGTTTTGTTTAATACGTGATTTGATTAGCGCATGAAACTAATTGCGGCAATCCCTTTATATATGCAGCAGAAGTTTTAATTTACATGGCTTTACCAGCTGTCTTTACTTAACATAGATACCGTATTTTGTTTAACATGATTTTGATATCCATGATAGGATCGAAGAATTAATTGTGTTAATCAAGGGATACCTGTAATAATTTTTTCCCTTAGAGACTAATAAAACTGATTTCTTTAGTTAATTCTTTAATCTTACTCCATGAATATTTAAATAGAAATTTTTGATGTCAAGTGAGTGAATTTAAACAAACAAAACCATTCACTGTTTGTTCAGTTTTAGTTTGTCACAAACATTACATAAAATAATTTTATTAGCCATATTTATTTATTATATTTTACAATATTTTTCCTGATTTCATATTAAGTATAATCACCAAATTTATTTGAATACAAATTTACCTGGGATTTTATTTCTGATATGATGCACCAAGTTGAGATAAGCTTCACGAGTATATCCTCTTCTCATGCGTTCCAACACTTGTGTATTCCCACTTTGTGCTGGCAGATGCAAGCTATTACAAATGTTTGGTCTATCTTGAATTATTTGTAAAACCTACATAAATAANTAAAAACTCAAATTTGCTTACTCCTTCTACCAAGACTAATTGTTCCGTTCCTATTTTTTGTTGGTTGAGTTCCAAGGCGAGAGGTCGAAATGTGTCACAGATTTCTCTTAAACGAGTTAGTTTGGTTTTGTGAGGAACATCATCATTCAAACGATGATAAGCACGAGTTTTCTAAATTAAAAAAAAAATTAAAAAATGAAATAAATATACGTTTTGTAATTGTTAAAAGTAATTATAAAACAAAAATACCTCTCTCATGCTATAAGGAAAAGAATAAATATAATTATATTTTACGGCTTTCAGTAGCGATATTGTATCTTGATGCGCTTCATCTGTCTCACCACAGAAACCAGTTATAAAGTCACTTGTAAGAGTTACATCTAAAAAATATTAAGTTTAATATATTTTTCACATTATAATTAATATTATTTAATTTGTATAAACTTATTTGTGTAATTATTGAATTATAATAAAATGAAAGAAATGGTTACATTGGTTAAACATCAATAGCAATTTTTCTGTGGATCTCTACAGAATGAATTACATCATTTAAAATACAGTAATTACCTTTTACTAAATATTAAACTTTGATTTTCATTCTAAATTTCAAATATATGATACACATTTGAAAATAAATAGACTAAATTACTGATAATTTACTAATTAATACTGACATTTATATAAAATAGAATCTTGTTTAAATTAAAATTAATAATTTATTAAGATAAAAACCCAGTTTATATCCAGAAATAAATTAAGTTTTTATCAAATCTTAAGCTAAACTACATTATTATTCAACAGACAACAACAGAGAGGAAATTTACATTCTAAACAAACCCAAGTTATTAACTCAAACAATGAAATACCATGAGCTTGGTTTCATATTTGCTTCCTGGTTTGACTTGTCAACAAATAATACATTCAGTAATATTTTATTGTAATTTAAAAATTAAGATTGATTTATTTAATCAATTTTTTTTATTGCCTCTGGCACCATTCATTGTTTAATTTTTGTTTACTGAATAACAATTTAGATCAGTTTACTATTGATAAAACATAATATTTGATACTAAGATCTTTCTATTGATTAATTTACTTCATTTTCAAATCTAATATTTATTTTACTTTTAATACATTTGCAAATATGTAATATTCTGAATAAAATATTTATATTTATGAATTATTTATTTATAATAGCCTACTTTATTAGAATAAATATATATTAATTTTTTGGGCTCTTTCTGCTCCTTGGGCAGTAAAAAGGCCTTTATTCCATACCCATCATGGGTTCAGCCAGGCCCAAATGGGGTTGTGGCTAGGTAGCAAGAAACAGAGTTGACATATTGTATGCAAAAAATTGCAGGGATTTTTTGACCATCCAGATTCAGTTTTGAGTCTCATTTCTTTTGTTTAGTTAAGTTATGGCAATACGATACTTGGGCGATCTGCCTAGGGGGATTGCCTTCTGGGAGGTCTTTTTAAGGGTAACTGGCCACTGTTCCGGCATTACAGACAAGGAGAAAACCCTGAAAACTCCACATGGCCAGCCTGTCCTGGCGAAGTGCGAACCCATGACTGAACTCCCAGTTTCAGGGAACAGAACTGTTTGGTCACTGGTAAGCCAGTTTTGACTCTCCAGAGCAGTAGGCTGATGCCTCAACTATCTGGCTCATTTATATAGGTCTGTATTGACAATAAAATTTATTGTCAATACAGACCTATATAAAAATTAAGAATTTCTGTATCAGTTTATATGAACCTGAATGTTGTGAAAAAACAGTATAAAGTAATTATAAATTTATCTAGGAAAATGAAGAAACATCAGACAGGACATGTACAGTATATATTTATACACGAATAATTATACATCAATATTTTATGTAACACGGATTAGTATTGCCATTTTTACAATTGTCCACATTGCTTTTTTTAAAAAAATTTTCAACAGTACTGATCTACATTAAAGTACTGTAATATGTTAAATTTTTAACTATATTATATTTAGAATTTATATAATTTTATTATTTATTGATTTATATTTTTAAAATAATTCAATTATTATATGTATAATAACTATATAAATATTAATATTTTGAGATGGATCATCTGACAGACTAAAGATTACCAATATAATTCTAAGCATTTAAAAAATAAAAACTAGTTGCGATATATTTATTATTATTACTAAATACCAAGTTGGTCAAGCATTGATAAATGTTTTCCTTTGTTCCCTGACAATAAAAGAGATAAAAGTAAACATTAATCATGCATAAAAAGTAGTAAACAGACTGCTCATAAAATTTCTTAGCTAAATTTTATGAATAAAAAAGAAATTAGAAATGAATGCAATCAGAATGAATTTCTTCACACTAAACTTTCAAAAAAACAATAATAATGGTAATGGAGAAAAACAGACATTTTAGATAAATTTTCGTTCTGTATTAAACTGATAAGATCTCATTTTTTGATACTCAAAAATGAAAATGAAATAGGCTCCATGGAGTTGGCTGGGTGCAAGATACATCAAACAAAACCTTTACCATCCAGTAAATAATTTTAATGTAAAATTTAACAAACATTTTTGAATCTTACACAAGATATGCAGCAAGTCAACAACATTCTAAATTGGAATGCACAGAACCAATTTCAAATTTTTAAATAATTGGAACAAAAATACAAAGATGTAAAATATGAAATTGCATACATAAAGATAGTTAATATTCTATAAGAAAAACATATAATTATATATTTTTTAATTAATTTAAAAATTATATTTAATATACATAACAGTTTCCATGCTCTAACAAATATTTTATTATAATAAAACTTACAAGAATAAATGAAAATCCTTATTCTTGTCTATTTTATCTTTACATTTATCTTTATCCTTATTTTTTATTCTTGTCTCTTGTTAGATATAAAAACAGAAGTTCTACAACTATATTTATATTCACATAGATACAGCTTCTGGTTTCATTTATCACAAAAGATCTTATACTTGTTTCTTAAGTAACACAATAGATTATTCATTAAAATAAAAATCACCATTATTATTAAAAAAGATATTCAATAAATATTTTCATCTTACAAGAAAAATAGGCTAAAGACACTAATGATAATAAATTAATTGATGTATGTTTACACAATCAACTAAATATTACCTTTCAAAAAGTCTTATTTTATAAATATTCTTTTTTCTATGCTTCATATTTAGATTTCATTTCTTAAAAAATATAAAATATGAAACATCTTACTAGTTTCTGACCAGTTTTATATCAAAACCAACTTTCATTAAGAAAATGCAATTGTTTAAAGATCAAAAATCAAAGTATACAAAGAGATATTTTATTGAAATTACAAGGTAAAATGTTACGTAATTAGTGTGTAAAACTGCCTGTACATCTTGCAGAAAATGACCAGAATAAAAACTTTTGCGTAACTTGCCCCACCATACTCTCCACGCCTATGTGGGCAGTACTTACTCCATAAGCATAAACTCGTAATTGAACTTTAAAATCAATATGTAACCTGCCTGTTGCATAACCAGCACTCTTCTTTCAAACTGTATTTTAAACATGGATAAATCTTTCATTATATGCATAAAAATAAGGCATGCTCACAACAGAAGAAACTGTAAGAAATAATACACAAAATATAATGTAAATATCAATAAAAAATATTTTAATTAATTATTTGACAATTTAATATTAAAAAGAATTACATAAACATTGGTTCCATTTTAAAAAAGTATTTAATTTTTTTTCCATTTAGACTTTTATTTAAGTTCTAAAATTTTTCAATCACTCGAAATAATTATTTAATTGTAAAATGTGCTAAAAAATATATAAATTATTAAGGAACGCTCTAATAACAAAAAGAGTCAAATCAACTTGACAGACAAGAAGCTTTAAAAGTAGGTGATTTATCTAAATTCATTTCAGTAGCAACTTTATGAATTAAAACTACATGGAAATTCGGGCATTAAAATATGTATTGATGTTTTCATGCTAAATTTGCATTTTTCTAATTGTATTTGACTTGCAAAAAACAATCTAAAAGTCTATCTTTTTTGCTATATTTTTCAGAAACTGAAAAATATCTATTTATTGTCTGATGATGATAACATAAAATGTGTATAATTTTTTGTTATGATATGAAAATTTTATAAAATTTCAACATTAACTTATTTTTCGTAACGAATGTTTCGGTTACATCAGATTATGATACATTATTAGATAATATATAATTAAATTTAATATAAAACCAGAGATAATATCACACTAGAATGACTTGAAAAAAATCTCTCAACCTGGTTTATTTAATTCGTATTACAATTACAGTAAAAATTTTATTTTGACCTTTTATTCTTTACAAGTGAAATGTAGTTATATCCTAACTTTCCGCCAGCAGTATCATTTAGTATGCAACGATACACGACAATTGTTTTACATTTAACTTTTTTTTGGTTTTACTGACCACGTTTCAGTTTGTTTTTGTCACTTTTATTGTTAAATTTTATGAAAACTTTTACGATATAACTAATAACAGGTTGAACATGCATAAATGTAATGGAGACAATTGCAATTGTACAATGTGAGAGATAAATAGCTTCAAAATTCATTCATGTAGCAACTGTAACAGTAAATAAATAAATCAGGTTGACCTCAAGAGATTTTTTTCTGATTATTCTAATGTGATATTTTCCTATCTTGATCAATGATATTTTAGTTAAAGTATATAATTATATATAATGAGATAATTTTTTCAAAGATATTCTTTAAATTATTTAGTTTGTTCATTATAGAATAATTTTATTTTTAATTTAATTTAAATGTTTTAATTATAAGATATTAATTATGTTTGGTAATGTGTACATAAAGATTTTAAAACTTTTATACAATGAAAAAAAATGTATTCAAATTCCATTTTCCTTTATAACTAAAGTATATATATTTTTGTGAGTAACTTTTAACTCTATCATAAAAAT